ATTTCCTCTATGGTTGAGCAATCAGCAAAACTGCACACTGAGAGGAGGCAACAGCGTTAATACTGCAAGTCATTCTCTGTCAACAGCAACCTCAACTCATTCATTTCTCTTAATAATATGTACTGAATGATCCTTTGAGATAATAGCATATTTAATTAACTTATAGGGTACATTTTTCATTTCATTTGTTCCGTTCATGGTATGCAAATCTTAAAGTATAATAATCGTTAACAAAACATGTCTCTATAAACCGAAAAGGAGCAGGAAGAAGAAAAAAAAATCTTATATTACCTTCCCCTTTCTAAAAACAACAACAATATAAATAGAAATAGATGGTCTGTCCTTCATATTTCTTTTCCATAGACAAACGTGTTCACAGCCAAACATAACAGTATCTTAGGATAATAAGAGAAGCACAAAAAAATACTTATTTCCCACTTGACAGTTAACGGAAAGAAAACAAAACAACAACACCAAAACATCACATGTACAAGGAACCCGGACCCTCTCTCACAACATTATATAATGGACCCTTTCCTTTCCTTTTTATAATATAACATTGCTCTACCTATTGTGATAGGAAATACAAATAACAAACATTTATTCTCCTTTAACACCGTGTTTGGTCTCTGCTTCGTCCCTCAAAGCAACTTCTCTCATTATTCAGTCATTTGTTTTATTATTATTGTAAACATATTGATCATATTCACTTGAAGATTTTCCATATTTCATCTGAAGATTGCAGGAATAAGCATTTAAAAAGAAATGCTGTAGCATCAGATGTGCTATCAATGATATGAGGCTCTATAAAGGCCAATTACGAGAGAGAGAGAGAGAGAGAGAGAGAGAGAGAGAGAGAGAGAGAGAGAGAGAGAGATAGAGAGAGAGAGATAGAGAGATGAAGAGGAGAGAACATAGAAAGAGATAGAGGAGAAGAGAGAGATGCAGAGACGAGACAGCACTTCCTTCTTTCTCCTGCCTGCCACCCAGTTTCATGGAAGGGAACCGGAATGAGCAGAAGGTACAGAAAACACCAGGTCTCAAATCTTCATATCTGGTATATATTCCATATGTATTAAATTCATATTCTATTTTGTATTAATATATTATATGAATGAAATGATCTGTATTCCTTGTAAAAACAAAACATGTTCTTTGCAGTTTTTTTATAACTGTTTATTTGTGTGTGTATTTTATTTTTTTCTATAAGATGTTTGCAACTTACAGAGCTTTGGCAATACTACTACTGTATGTAAATATGGTCATGCTACTAAAGCTAATTGAATTGAATTGGCGAGAGAGAGAGAGAGGGAGAGAGGAGAAGAGGGGGAGAGAGGGGAGATCTTTTTAGTCTCATATGTGTCCAGAAATCAGAGTGTGTATTTCCATGTGTGTGTGCATGTGTGTAACTTACTGAGCCATCTCAAACTGCTCCAGCCATTTCTTCTTCAGTTCTCTGGTTTTGAAGAACAAGTCGTATCCACACTTCCCATAGCAGTCCAGCAGGAGGAACACATAGGACCACTGTGGACAAACACACACACTGTTAGCTCTACGCACGCCTAATGGATCAACTGTGTGGTATGCCTGATGTCACAGAGTAGCAGAAAGACCTTCTTGTTGTCCTTCTCTCCTGCCGTTTCGTCTCGTATCTGGTAGTGCTGTAGTTCAACGATCTCCTTTAGCTCAAACGCCTCTCCGCCCTTCTTCTTACAGATGAACATGGCCTTGTCGAAGAGGAATACATACCTGAAGGACAACCAAACACACCGATTAAACTAAACATCACATACATGGAATTGAAATGAATACAAAACACGCGGAGACGAATACCACACACACCTGTCCTGTTTAGACTTCTTCTCAGGACTGCAGATCTTCAGCTCTCCGTCGATCTTAGGGCGACCATAGAAAGCTAGAGACTGAGTCTGAAGAGCAGAGGACAGTGAGCATGGCCAGTAAGAAAGACATCTAATAAAGACATTAAAAGTGGAACATGTAACCTCACCATGTTTTCTATCGACAACTGGAAAGTTGTTATCTGTCGGATGATCTCATTGTCTCGCTTCACCTCGTTCACACACTGCGCCAAGTCCTGCAAACACACACACATGGAAGAATGTTATATCCTAAATACTGTAAATCTACAATTATTAGCCAAGGTATTTACTATCTTTGAACATATTCAAATGTGGGAATGGTCACTAGATACGACAGGCCTTGAACACCTTTCCTACAAACTCAGACATTAAGGGAAAGGGGTGAAAACTATGAACAAAGAAAGGTGGGGACACTTTTGCAGGCGGGCAGCAAGGTCATTAACAACATGGTGCAGGAATAAAACTAAATATTGTTGCCTAGTTTAAATATAGTTAATTTAGCAAACAGTGGTCACAATGGACTTGACATCACCATATTTAAATCCTATATACTTTTTTTTAATGAATACGATTTTAAATTGTTATGATAGGTCGACTCCAGCACTGTAAAAAAAAGAAATGGAGGAACAGACACACTTCATAGACAGTCTCTTTGGTTTACCATGCCAATAAACTGAATTAATTTCACTTTTGCTCATGATTTTTGTAAAAGGAAATTAACATGTGAATTGTGGAGAATCTCTGACCTATCAATGCTTTATTGTCATTGGCACATTAGCTACAGTGTAGATATGGCAATGAAAAACTTAGGTCACAGGCTCCTCCAATGTGTAACATGTTCATATTTACCTGCGTTTAATTGAGACCTGAGCTTATTTTATTTATCATCTAATTGGGGATTTTAATTTAAGTTCATACAGTATACATAGATACTTACTCTCATGGCATCAAGAGCTGTGCGGAGGTTCTCCTTATCTGCAGCGTCAGTGGTGTGCTTCAGCAGCTCCTGGAGCACAAACAGAGGATTAATAGATATACTGGAAGATCTCACACACACACACACACACACACACACACACACACACACACACACACACACACCTGTAACAGCAGGTGATATTTGAGGACCCTCTGCATAGGGACCATGAGTAAGTCTCTGAGAGAAAACCGTCGACTATTGGCTCTGTTTGAACACTCCTGGGAGAGAATGAGAGAGAGAAAACAGGAAGTAAACGTCTGCAGCAACCATAGATGTGTTTAGATGATGTTGTGCAACAAACCCAGCCTTCCCTCCTGTTTTCCTTGTGGCCAAATGCAGTACTTAAACAACCACTGCCCAGAGAGCTTTTCCCCTGAAGATCATTATAATAATTATCTTCTTAGTTCAGAATGAATCAGTACAAACGTGAACCGTTAACAACCCGAAACCACTCCATACAGTACCTTAATCAAAACACACTTCTGCTCTGTGCAAAGAGACTGAACATGTGCAGAATGATACTTCCCCTGTGCTGCTGTGTTTTAAAGTCTTCCTCACCTCCAGTTTCATTCTGATGTCCTCTCTTGTAGTCGAAAGCTTATCCAGGGTTTTTGTTGCAGTTTCCACCTGACTACAGTAATGACCGTACAGTAATAGCCTGGGGGGGGGGGGGGGGGAAGTATATAAGAACACAAGACAACATACGTGTATTTGTGGTGTGAGTGTGTGGTGGTATTTGTTTGTCGTACCTTTCCTTGTAGCTCAGAAACACCTGGTACAGGTTCTTGGCTCCATAATCTAGGATGGAGCTCCGGACCTCTGCCAACATTGTACGATGAGTGTTGGCCAACTCCTACAAATACACGTTCACATGAAAACATGTAAACAAGGCTTAATACGTGAAGGTGAACATACACTGTTACTCCTCTCGTACCTCTATGTTGATGAAGATACTCTCCATGTCTTGCTCCTGGAGAAACTTTTGAAGAGGCTTCATAAAGTGCTGCAAGAGAAAAAAGTTGTTAGTCAAAATTAATGTATGCTTGTGTGTGTGAGTGACTTATTCCGTGTGATTTATGTGTGTGAAAATGAATATCTTTCGTCAGACAGTGATCGTGTGCTCACCTGTAATATAGATTGCAGTGTATCCGAGTATTTCTCTTCTGTCTGTCTGATCTCCAGCAGGCAACACTCTCGTTTGTCCACGCCAATCTTCTGCTGCTGCAGGAACACACACACATATGTCATATAAAACATGAAGAGACCAGAGCAGATGATATTTAAAGGTCACCTATCATGCTATTTGTAGGCAATAGCATGGGTCTCAGATATATAAAAAAATATAAAAAACATGTCTATGAAGTGTTTTGCTCAAAATACCAAACAGGTCACCCATTCTAGCCATGCCTCATATCCCTCTATTTCACTTCCTGTTTCAAAAGTGCTGATTTTGGGTATAAAGCTTTAAGAATTTCATAAATAAAAAAGGAGGGGTCTGAGCTCATGCGGGACCCGGCAGCTACTGTCTAAACTAAATGCTGCGGTGATGAAACGCCATATCATGGATTATCAAGGATTATCTCTGAAACAGTTTGGAGCTCAAAGGCTTTCTCTCTTGCCGGTTATACCACAAGGTGAGTTCCTTTTTACTTCCTGCTTCTTCACACACATGCTCTCCAGCACAGGTTAGCTCTGAGTGTTAGCCATGCTAATGTAAACACCGACCATATTACGTCCAAAACAGTCGGGCATTGTTTCTGATAGCAATGTTTCTGATAGGGCCGTGGGTCCACATTTCAGATATTACGTCATATCGGACGCAAATCTGGATCAGCTCCGTTGTACCCCCGTTTTTAGAGATTTGGGTACGGAGGAAAAGAGAGAGGGTTTTATTTTCTGACGCTGCGTGAGTTCCCTGACACACCGGGGACACATATTTATGTATAAAAGACATCAAAAAGTGCATTTTGCATGATAGGTCCACTTTAACATTTGTTTATCTTGTATCTTCCATCTCTCTTAAGCCTTGTTTACATCTTACAGTTAATCACAGTTTTGTTTATTTTCTTGATGAGAATTTGTATTGTTTAGCTCTTGTTCTTCAACAGGTTAGGTAATGCAAGTCACTTTTACTACTTCAGGTTGCATTCATTGTGTCTTTGGAAGAAATGTGTATTATTTTAAACTGTAGTCCAATTGAAGCATACAGTACACGTTTGACAAAAATTAGAAACAAAAAAAACTGGTATTTTTCTCTTGAGGACCTGTTAATTTCTGAACCGGACTCTCTGCATTAGCATTCATAGCGTCTCATTCCAGATTGTGCTTTAAAGCATGTAGTAGCTGGGTGACATGTAGACATTATGTATTCCCTGGATTGTATTGAAATGTATTCGATTGTATCTGAAGTAAACTGTGAATGTAGTTCATATCTGCAAATGGAGAAGCATTGCAAATAATCTGCAGAACTCTGAGTAGTAGTAGTGACCAATCGTGAGGTCATAATATAAAATACATTTGAGGGATCCTGCCATGAGTAGAAAGATAGAAAATCCGACAGATATTTTCTTGCTGGAGACTGTTTTTTTATATTTTTGAACTGCTAGCGTAGTCAAAGCTTGCAGGTTGCCAAACAAAAGCCCAAACCATCGTTTTGATTTGAGGTCTACTCACAATTTCTGGTTGTTCCTCCGTCCTCATCAAGTCTTCATAGATCTCGTCTCCTTCGTTCTCCTCGTCCTCCACAAAGTCGTACAAGTCATCATCCTCGTCCACTGTTTCACTAATACACACAATACATACACACACTGTTATCATCACAGTATTTGTATTTCATTCCTGTGATTATTCCGTACTTTTTCAAATATTTTGGCTGATAAATGTGAATAAAATGTGAAATGTGGTCATGCGTAAAATCCCAGCTCTTACTCATTGGATTTATTGAATTACATAAAAAAATGATACTTAAAATCTTTACTTCACTGCTCGAATAGAAAATGCTTCAGCATAATTTGAATATAGGTTGAGTTAAAGTTCAGAACAAAACGCATTATTAAGACCAGCCACTTAAAGGAATGGCTTTGTATTTTAGTTTATTTTTTATTTGTACTTCTTGCAGTTGGCGTGGTCTGTATGTGTCTGCATGTACCGATGTTAGTTGTTTTTACTCTCCTGCACAAGTTTAGAACAAAGGGAGATAATGCTATTGATAATACGATATATTATAGCAGCTTGTATAACTCCCTCTTCATCATATACATTATTATTTTAACATTATTGTGGTAAAAAAAGACTCACTCTATCTGGTCGGACAGGCCGCTGTAGATCTCATCGTCAGGAGTGCATCCTCCCAGAGGGAAAGGCCTGGAGGAAATGGTGTGAGTAGGTGATGGTGAAAAGGAAAGAAAGTGGATTGAGAATGACAGTAACATGGATATATTTATCAAGTGAATAATGTTCCAATAAAACAGACTGTAATGTATGTAAAGGAGGCCATTTTCTTTAAGCGCCTATGCCAAATAAACTGTGATATGTTAAAAAATATAGTCAAGTAACTAACATTAAGGTAAAAATAAAAAAAAGTTTCTACAAAATCCAGTTTTGACTGACAGAGAAGAGTCTGTTCTGCTGTTATCAGATACTCCAGATCTGGAACAAACAAAATCTATTTTGCATTTTAATGAAATGTTTTCGAACAAAGGAACAATCTAACTCCTCCTGCAGGAACCAGAGGTGGAGGCTTGTGTAGAACGAGATAATGAAACACAAAAAAATGAAGTGATAGAATGAACGAGCTGTATTTCTTTAAGGTATTTGGCTTTTTCATTTTACGTTACTTATAAACTTCTTGGCCCATGGTTTAGCAGAGTCAGATTATTATTATAAAATATGAATCCACTAATAAATCATGACATACTCTTACAACTTAATCGACCACAAAGTAAATCAAGTAGCATCACTAAAGAGGTGAGTACAGATGAATGCATCAATACACATAATGAAACAGTTATTCTGAAATTAGCCTTTTGGCCTAATGTGCACATTTCATTTTGGTAATTTAGAGTTAATACTTTTATAGTAGAGTTGTAATTTAAAAAACGTCTTGCTTTGATAGAAGAAGTTGAAAAATACATTCATTAAAACTTAAACTGTCCTTATACTGCGTACAGTATACACAAACTTACAATACAGTACCATGTATGGAACCTTTATTGCTTATAATGCTAAAAACAAGGGGGGGAGGGGTGATTCAAGTAGATGTTACTAAAAAAACTGAATTAACATTTAAATTACGTAACAGAGGAAGGATGTTACTTACTGAAGTCTCTTTTGTGTAGCAATGGGCGAATGGGAGAGGATAGACAGAGTGTCTATAACCTACAACACACACACACACACACACAATTATTTAATCTGGTTTTATTCTTATTCTAAAACATTCTGATTGTTTAAGTGAGAACTGCAGTATCATGATGACTCATCTAAAAAAAATAGTTTCATGAGAGATGTGATCAGCGACAAACTTAAAGATGTCACATGGCTGACCAAATTAACTTGTTCTGATTAAGCAACAACATGTGTCTACTTTCCCTGCCTATCTGGACCTGGTGTTGTGTGTTTCAATATGTTATAACTCTACACAATAACCTCTGACTCTTTATATCCAGAGTTGCACCCAGAAACACTTACAAATTCTAATCTGCCCCTTGAACTAAGTCTCTATTCTTTCAGAGGCTAAAATAAAAAGGAGGGCCTGTCTTGACTATTCTGGTGATATAAAATAAACATTATGTCCAAATAAAGTACATTCTTCTTAGTACTGCTGAACTTGTTCGTTTGATTTCTAATTTTATTCAAGACAGAGAAGGAAATAAAGTCTTAAGAAGAAGTGAAAGTCTTAAGAAGAAGTTAAGAAAAAGAGACATTTGACTGGACTAATTTACAGTAATCTTGCCATAAAAATAACAAGACTTGAAAGAGATTTGGAGAAACGTGCTTATCAGCTTCGTGGTACAGATGAAGATGAGACAAATGCAACCACTCTCATGTCTGTCTGCGTGAACAAAGTTACACCATTTTATGTGCTTTGTTTTAGATTCCAATTTGAACTTTCTGGATTTGTTCTATTTTATTAGTATTGTGATATTAATCTTGAGATTTGAATGTTATAATAGTTAACCATAAGGCTACATTACAAGAAAACATATTTAATACATATATCTGTTTATTAAAAAGTGCGTCCCACGTACTCTTCTCTACTCTCTTTATATTGTTTTGAATATAAAGCAGGAAAAAGTTCAGGACTACATTTTGAAGATAATAGGGTAACAACAAAGCTAAAGTCTTCGATTCAAGTACTTTGACATGAACAAAATCCACCTTTCTAACTCTAAACTTCACTAATAACATATGACATTGTGTTGTGTGTATTTGAAGGAGTATTCTCAGTGTGTTACTACTACTTGTACTTCAATAAAAGATCTGCATACTTCGTGTACCCCTGTAAATGATACTGTTTTACACTTGTGTGTTTAATGTTATTTATTGTAGGCTACTGAGTGACTGACTGGTCGCTGTAAAGTGAAACCAGAAGCAAAAAAAGAACGTGTACTTTAAAGAACACCCCACAGTTAAGTTGAAGTCCAGCTATTGTTGACTCATTTCGTTTCTCCCTCTTACTTTGTACGTTCAAATCAAAGAGCACATTTCAAATGCCCTGGTTCACACCAAGGTGCTGTGGTTGCACTGCAGCGAAAATGAAAGAGTGAAAAACTGAAATCATTTGTTCTCTCAGCCGCTTCAATTATAAAATTACCAAACTACTTCCTGTCAGGGCTGTGTGGGTGTCTGCAAGCTGCAGTGAGAAGTCAGGACTCTGTTCACACTTCTACTATCATGACTGGAGTACGAGTTCACTTGTGAAGCAATCGTAATAACTGTACTGTAATAAATTGGAAGATACCTTTGCAAAGTCCCGAACATCAAACAGGTCAAAGGCCTCAAACAGTTCACTCTTTTTGAGATCAAACTTCTCCTGACAAACTCCCAGGAACATCCGGATATTCTTTAGGCACAGGAACTAAAAAACAAACAAGAACGTTACTTTACTTTTAATGAAATGATTTATTGAGCAACAAAAAAATGTATCAACTAAAATGTAGTTTCTATTAAGAGTTCAAGTCATTTATCAAACGACACGTGGCAACATGAACACTAGAGGTTATGTGGGGCCGTACTAGCTAAATGCTAACATGCTAACATGAGCACAATGTCAAATATGTTGAGCTGAACTAGTATACTTCACCTTGATAGTGTAGCATATAAGCCTTCTTATCATTAGCATGGAAATTACCTAATTTCTTTTTATTTTATTTGTATTATACCATAACTTAGTACTTTTTTAACATATGTAACATGAAGCTGTGTGTGGCTCTTTCCTGCTGTAACAATGCAAATGTCCCCACTGTAATAAAGGTATTCTGATTCTGCAGGTGTTTTGTCATGAACCTAAGACTTTGATAAATTACATGTTTGATCTTTTGTCATTAAGATTCAACAACTGAAAACCGTTAATTTGATGAAAATGGATCCTCTTGTGCCGATATAGAGGAAGCAGCAGGTGAGGTGATCATCAAAGTGAGTGAAACACGAATGTCTGCATTAAAGAGTTGACAAGATATTTCAGTCTAGACCAAAATTCTGGCTAATAAACCAACTAACTGAACAAACAACTTGCTGCTAAAAAAAATGACTTGTGGTAGGCAACAACGTTTTTCTTCCCCAAATCTGTGCAAATGTTGTCCTGGTTCGATGGTTTATACAGCATGGTATAAATAATCACCCAAATCTGGTTAACACATTTAAAGCCAACTTCCTTCCAACTCATTACCACAAGTTGTACATTTATGGTCAAATAAATCTAATATTTTTGATCAATCAAATTCGAATGAAAAGTCGTCATTATTTGTTCTTGTGAAGAATATAGTATGAAACCATCCATATTATTTTGTGGCAATGAGACAAGAAACCTTGATATAAAAATATAAAAACCCCAAAACAAATACAATTAAGCATTTGAAAGACGAAACAGTGTGGTATTCCAAACACAGGTAGAAGGTAAAGCAGGCACATATAAAGAATGCAGTGTTATACATTACATAACATTTCTAGGGAACTTAAACAATGTTGTTTATCATATAATATTTAAGTTTTTGTTAAATATCACACTGGCACTGTTGTTTAACTTTCCCACACTAGGTGACATACATAGCAAGTGAACAGCTGCACTTTATGTCAATGTGTATATAAATGCTTTTCAGCCACACAGGCCGCAGCAACACGAAGAGCAACTAATAAGAGCAGCACGAAGGCCCTACTTTCATAACGAAAATATAAATGAAACCACAGAGAGGCAGCGCACAGTAAGACTGACATGGCGGTCAGACATGTGTCGCTTTACATAACTTCCTGAACCAGCTCTCTCCCTCTCTCTCAGTCTTCTGTGACTGTCTGTTCAGCTGCGGGAAATGCGGAACTCTAATTTGAGTAAAGGGGAAATGTTGACTTCTTACTGATACTGCTGCACACATCATGTCACTCTGTTAGGAGTGCACACAGGCACAACTACATATACTTATCCCTGCAAGCTGGTGCGGTGTCGCAAAAGAACAGGGAAGATCCTCTATGTGTGTAATATCATCAGCGTTGTGTGTGTGTTGGGGTTACACGTCAGAGTGGAATCCCATTTTCTATTACAACACCGGATGTTTCTTAACCACTCTTGACCTCATAGGATTTACCAGAGTTTCGCTTACACGTGTAGGAGCAACATGTGTAACACACACACACACACACGCGACACCCTGTCTCTTTGTCAGACTCTCTTGTTCTCTGTGTTTCTCTTTATTCATTTGTTAATATGCTCAGTCACACACCGATTTATATTTCTCTCTGTCCACTCAGACACAAGTTATCTTTCTTACTTCTGCTAGGATATGTTTTCAATCCAGTTTGCTTAGCTGCGTGATTGTTAGTTAGTATTATATCTCTAAAAGTTTGACAAGAAGTTTTGATGAGTCAGTCCATGTTTTTGGAATGGGGGAAACCGCTAGCTTATTCTGTCCAAAATGTAACAAAAGCATCTTTAAAGCTCAAAATAATAACACATTATGTCTCGTTTGTACAAATCTGTACGAAAAACAAAGCCAGTCCGAGTCTGATAGCGTAACTTAGGTATTTAAAACATTCACATGTTTCTATAATGCCATTAACAACAAATCAGGTTGATCTTTGCTCAAGAAGCTCAGTTCAATTTAGTTGAATGTAAAGGTCAAGGTTGCAACCTTAAAACTCATGTATGCCGTCTTTGAGTACTTAGCATTTTTCTTCTTCATCCCCTCCTCACTCTTGACATCCCTGTTCTGTCCCCTGATATGATCAGATATAGATCAAAGTATTTTCCTATCCGACAGCCTTTGGGCGTCGGTGCATCGACCTGGTCTTTAGGGAAATGGCATATGGAAATGAATCGGGAAAAGGTGTGTGTGTTACCTGGGACATCTGTGGGCGCAGGTTGATCTCTCTCAGGTTGACAGCTTGAGGCATCAGGTTGTTGAGCAACTGGCAGAGCAGCACACCATCTCTCAGAGCCTGAGCCAGGTCACACACCTGGCCCAACACACACACACACACACACACACACACACACACACACACACACACAACACACACACACACACACACACACACACACACACACACACACACACACACACACACACACACACACACACACACACACACTACACACACACAACACACACACACACACACACACACACACACACACACACACACACACACACACACACACACACACACACACACACAACACACACACACACACACACACACACACACACACACACACACACACACACACACACACACACACACACACACACACACACACACACACACACACACACACACACACACACACACACACACACACACACACACACACACACACACACACACACACACAAAATCAGACTGAGGCACCCAGACAGGATATGTGTTCAATTACAGGTGTATATGTGACACAGCTGATTTACCTGTGCGCCCTCCCATGTGACCCGGTGGTTCTCTGGAAGGACTCGGCATTCGATCAGCCACATCGCACACTGCCGCCACAACTCCATCTTTGTTTTCTGATGAACAGATGGATCAATAGATAGGATATGAGGCCAAAACAATGTTACACCTTATGGATTCTTACAGGCACAATATTCAGAAACCAGTGATCACTATTGGTCCGTACAACACCCAGTAGCAAGTCAGATTAAGTTAACGCTCTATTGGCAATGAGAGAATAGTTAGTTTGACAAAAGGCACACAGTGTGTTCATGCTGAATTGAAACGTATTCATTGTCTGAATTCACGCATTCAAAAACCTTTTGAAGCGTGACAATTTTTGGCTCCTGCACCACACAAGTAGCTCCGTATCTCACTTTGTGACAATTTTTCTTTGTAAACTACAACCTTGATATGGAAATTATTGAAGATGCACCAACAGTCTGACCTGGAGTACAGCAAAAACTCTCACACCGTCCTCTACAGTGACACATCAATACTTGAAATCTAGCTACAAGCTAAAATAGCCACTACTCAATTAGAAAGCCTTTCTAAAATGTTCTAACTGCATATCAGTGTGTGATGAGTGTTATAATCTGCTCTCACCTCTTAGTTTCTCCTGGCAGTTGTATGTTTATTTCCTCTGTGTTCTCCTCCTTTCATTATTTCATTGTAACACTTTAGCGCTCTTGTTCTGCCTTTCTTCCGTGGTGGGTGTTCTGCAGAGCTGCACTGTGTCGAAGACTTTTAACTATATGCCACAACTTCCTTTTTCCTCTGACGCACCCTGGTAGTTGCATGCACTCACAGATGCGCACACACACACACACACAACCACACACACACACACACACACACACACACACACACACACACACACACCCACACACACACACACACACACACACACACACACACACACACACACACACCACACACACACACACACACACACACACACACACACACACACCACACACACACACACACACACACACACACACACACACACACACACACACACACACACACACACACACACACACACACACACACACACACACACACACACACACACACGCTGCTGTTACAAGTGGTGCAAGTTAATAAAATAGTGTGATCTATGCCTGAAATGGTGTGTATTATACGTATTAAAGCGACCAGATAGAATAACTGTGTATTTGTGTGTGCACTACAGAACATGAGTATATCGAAAGATAGATGTGTTGCAACCACATTATTTAGACAACTGCCTAACAAACTTCTAATGTGGTGAAATTACTTTATTTAAGGAAACTACAAGATGCTTGTGCAAGTGTTATTTAAGTGGCAGTAAAATGCACACATCAAGACATCAAGTTGAATGTTTCTTTACAAAGATACCCTTCAAAATGCTGCAATAATTACAAGATATAATCTGTTATCTTAAGAGGAAAATATACGTTAGTCCTTAGTCATGATTGAACAGCTGATAACTAATCTGTAAAGATCGTTTTTAAGTTGCAGAGAGAGGAGGTTGTCACTGTATCATTTCAAGTACAACATCTGGAGCTGGATGAATAACGGAGCATCTAGGCAGACAGTACCCAGCGGAGAGTTTACTGGGATGTGGGCACATCATTACAGCTACAATAAAACATCCTACACATGCTAATCTTAATGACCAGATCAACAAAGTGTTAACCTACTAGTGATACCAGTAGTTCCAGCTATAGAGTTATGATGTATTCGACTCTAACTCAAGCAGACAGTAACGAAATACAATTAAATACAAATGTGTGGCAATTTCTAGTTTTTATTCTGAAGGGCTTGCATTACATGCTACTTCTAGTTTACTTCAAATATTGTACTTTTTAGTTCTACATTCATTTGAATGCTGTTGAAACAAGTTACTTAATGTTCCATATGATCGATTATAAAATATTATGCAGTAGTTCAATAATACGTATTTTTAAATGATCTAGCTTTAGTGGAAGTACTTTTACTCATACTGCAAGTATCATTTTGAGTCCAAAGAAACACATCAAGCTCCAAACATGCTCGATCCTTCATTACCCATGATGCTCGATATTATTTTTTGTGAGACACTCCCTGCCCTGTGATAACCCACATTGTTCAATTCATTGACCCCAGTTTGTCATCAGTCACAGAATAAATAAAGCAACGGAGCAGTAACGCTTAGAAAACTCTTAAAAACCTGCTTTATATGTACATATTGGACATACACTTTTACACTTACATATATATTTTTAACATATTCATCCAAATTGTATATGAAAACATTTTTTATTTTATTCTTTACTGCCACTTCATTTTTAATGTTGTATTCTTACTAATCCATGTGGGAACTGTGGGAAGGTGTATCTTATCTTATCTGGTTATGAATAGAATATCTTCATGTGTGAAATTGTTGGAGTGCCCCTTTAGAAAACTACCTGTGTCATGTTTTACTTCAACACTAGGTGTCAGCCTTGCACAAATCACCTTTTTTCCAGCAGATACCGTATCTCCTGACAAACTACCTGGCAGACAGGTTGCCAGACATCAGATGCATGCCTATCTCTGACCTGACATGTTGACAGCGGCCTATCAGTCTCACATTTCAAATCTCCCCTTCTTGTTTTTCTAAACTCTTTCCCTCTCTCATGACATGCCTGAACCTGCTCTCTCCACCTTTTGAAAGTTTATGCTAATCCCTGCACTGTGATTTGCTGTTGGCTGTGGGTTACTGTGTGCCCACCGTACGATCTGATTGGCTTTCTGAGAGACCCTGCAGGTTTGAGGGGGAGCGGGCTTCCAATAATACCACAAACAGAAGTGAGAGACAAGCTTAATGACAGAGGTTACATCTCAGATGAAAGCCGTTGCAGAGAAGGAAGGAAAACAGAGGAAAAGTAGGAGCATTATGAGATAAAAATATTACGAGGAAGAGTGAATTTCCCAGAGTGCCTCGGTGGACCCTGCAAACAGGTAGGTGTGACATACTGTAGCTGCTGCAAGGCAAAACAACTCTGCTTGGGTTTAGTTTGGGGTTTCTTAAAGTAAGTGCCCTTTCACTCTTTCATTAGCACTTTTCTTATGAACTCCTGCAGAAGATGGGTGTGTGTGTGTGTGTTGGTATGTATTTAGTATCTCCTTTGCTTCTGTTGTTCAGACATGAATAATCGCTCCATCGCCTGGTGGCTGAAACAGATCGGCCTGCCACAGTACACCAAGTCACTTGAGAGGGAATATTATGGTCTGGAGGTATGTGAATATAAGCAACATGCAACTGTGTGATATCTCTTCTCTATTGTGTGCTGTGCTTACCTCCTAGTTTTGTTGTCTCACTTCTCTCCAGGGTTTGCTGAGTGTGACAGATGTAGAGCTGAAGGATGCCGGTATAGAGGAGCCAGCACACAGAGAAACCATCCTCAACCACCTTTCAATACACCGACAGACACTTGACCCACAACCTGGTGACACTCACAGCAAACACAGCACACATAAATATTAAAATTGTAACCAAAATGTTCTGATCTTAATCTTTATTCAGTGGAAACATGTTTGTTTTGCAGCTAAACTAGACCAACAGAGTATAAAAAACGAAAACTTTACTAATAATTGTTATTATATTGCCTGGATATCATTTGACATTAGTGCCAGTACAGTACCTGAATATTGGTAGTTATACCAAATCAATAGTTCTCTTAATGCCTTTCTTTGAAATGCACAAGTGCTTCTTTTGGTCAACAAACAACTGCAACATTAATGGCATTCCCCATCAGTTTCAGCTGTAGCTAAGATGGTGAACAACAATTAGAAAATGAATTAATAGAAGCATGAATCTAACCAGAGATTTGACACCAGCTGTCCGTACTTTTAAATACTTTATGTAATAGGGACACATTTAGATCATTAGCTTCAAGAGTAATAAAGCTCAATACCCAGCTATATTGCTAATGTGCAAACAGCTTTATTATTTGTGTTCTATATTGATCTATGTCCTCCAGGGCTAGTGCATACAGCGACACATAATTACACGCCTCGTACAATTTAGCTGATTAAATGCAGACTGACAGATTTAATATATAACTTTATAAGATAATCTGTTAAAAGCTTATCTTTAGTTTAAGGAAATTGAAAATGTGTTCCTGATGTGATGAAACAAGCCTACAAATAAAACATTATCTTTTAATCAATCTTTCTAACTTGCTGAGCGAAAGTAGCTGTTAAACGTATTCATGCTTAGCGTTGAGACTTTGTGCATCAAGTCAAAACCTTATACTAACATGTACTGTATATGTTTATTTGTGTTGACTGGCAGGTTCTTGCTTAGTGTCATTTAAAGAAGGTTAACATGAACATAGACAGTCTGAAAGATGATGTCACAATGTCTTTGGTATATTACTATCCATGCACACCAATTAGAGCAGGGGTGGGGAACCTTTTTCCTCTCAAGGGCCATTTTAATTTTTCCAACAAAAATACTTAAAAATACTAAAATCACAGCCCATTCATTTCGCCTTTCTTTCATTCTGTGCAAAGAAAAAGCAACCCCTTAATCCAGATATTTCACCATGACTCACGTATGCATGCACGTGCACGGTTGTGGCATGACCACCAAAACAGAAAGATGTGGACACAAGATGTGTGCAAATGTATTTAGTTTCCTATCTATGTGAACATGATTTAAGTGGGGGGGGGGACCTAACCTCCTCTAGGGGGGCATGCTCCCCCGGGAAGATTATTTTTTAAATGTTGAAGTTGAAAGCATCAATCTGGTGCACTTTGAGAGCAAAATTAGGAGATCTATGGATACATCTCTCAACACCCAGATGAAACAGAACTGTAAACAGATTTATTTTTCTTTATGGATATTTTACAAATCACTCCCCTTTCAAACTGTATTCTTGTTTATTAATAACAACTTTTTTTTACTGTCATATAGTATTTTATACCTGTTTACTTTATTCTCTTGTTTTTGTATAACTATAATGATCATATACAGATGTGCCTTTACCTCACTGGTTGGAGAAAAAGCTTCTTATATTCGTTAGCATAGCTAGCCAACCAGATGCTAATAACAACAAAGTTATTGACTGTCTGTATGATCAGTATGACAGATGAACAGATCGCCACTGGGCTTACAACTAAGACACAGCCATACAAAAACTGCGGCATGTGTACGGCTCCTTATGGGTACTGCAATTTTTGGAAGTGCCGGAGCGGCGTTCTGGTGCTGCCCGTCAGCACTACACCCCTGTCTATGGAGGACGGAACATGACTTAAGTATAAATAAATAAATGTATGAAGAAATACAGGAATAAATAAATTACGTACATAAATACAGGAATAAATAAATAAATACTAGGGCCGGGACTCGATTAAAAAAATTAATCTAATTAATTAGAGGCTTTGTAATTAATTAATCGAAATTAATCGCATTTTTAATCGCATATACATATTTGACCTAAGAACAGTGAGAAGCAATTTTTTTTCACATGGATTTTAGTATACCATTAGGCGCATTCACACCGCAGTACTTTTCCCACAACCTGGGGGTGGATTAGGCAAATGAAGCCGGCTGACGTCACTTCTTCTTCTTCTGCTTTGGGTTTACTGGCAGGCCGCAAACCACTTTCACGGCGTATACTGCCGCCCAAAGTCCCCGGCCGGAAGTCCCCGGAGTTGGGGAAGCTTCAGTAGAAGCTGCTGGGAGTCCCAGCAGCTTCTACTGGAAGCCTTCCGAGTAAATCGCCAGAACGCCGACACCTCCTCATCTCCACCGCTCCCATGTTTTATTTTGTGTTGCCATAAGTTAGTCTCTCTGTGTTTCTGCGCTGGGCTAATGCTAATAATGCTAATGCGAGGATAATAAAATGGCGGCTTCACAAAACTTTTGGGAGTTTTACGCGGCGTGGTTTGCAATCCGCCCAGCCAATCAGAATATAGCTCTTTTCTCACAAGAGAGCCGTACGAAAGTCCCTGGCTCTCTAGCAGCTCTCTGCTCTCTAGCAGGGACTTTCGTGGGGGTAAAAAGGTTCTCATGAACTAATTTTAGTACCGGCTCTTTTTTGGTGTGAACGCGATAAAAGAGGCTAACGTCCACGCTAGCTTCCACGCTAGCTGCTATATGTTTTGCATTGAGGTGATACTTGAGGCTTGATGTGCTGCGGTGATATGCGAATTCCTTTTTGCATAATTTGCACACAACCGTGCTCTTATCGACGCTTCCATCCGTCCGTTTTTTAAAACAACATTTCCCACTGTTGTTCACTGTGGTTTGTTGTTGTCTGAAGTCATGAACGTTAGTTGGTGCTCCAGTATAATCGGTACGCCTGAAAACTCATCCAGTGAGAAACGTTCCGCGGTATGCAAAAATAAGTGCGATTAAAATGCGTTAATTTTTTAACGCGTTAATTTTTGTGTAATTAATTAATCTTAATTAACGCGTTAAGTCCCGCCCCTAATAAATACGTAAATAAATAAATAAATACAGGAATAAATAAATGACGAAATAAATACAGAAAATAAATAAATGTTGAAATGAATACACAAATAAATAAATAAAAGAATAAATGCATAAATAAATATGGAAATAAATACATCAATGTATAAATAAATAAATGTCGAAAATAAACAGAACACACGTTATTATTATATATCTTTCATTTATTTCTACATTTACGCGACCTACATTTATTTATTTATGTATTTATTGTGTCCGTATGCTAATGAGGTGGGCGGTCCTAAACCTCAGTCTGAAGCGGATTCGCCAATTGTTGGAGCCAGGCAGAAGCAATAGATGTGTGGCAAGTCACATCATGTCGAGCTGAGCCAAGTCCTCCCTATACATCGTTCCACACGAAACTGGACATAGTCTTTTGGTTCTCCGTCTCTAAATGGTCCGCTAATGATCGTAAATGATCTCCAATGGCTCTTAAATCAATATCCATAAATAAACCTTACAACTGTGGATAAACCATGGATGTATAAAGATAAGGGCTAAACAGTAAAGCTCCTGCATTCGAATCAGCGCGGTTATCCAGGCGTTAGTAGTAGAGCCCTCTGCCAGAAATGATCACACACTCCTGTAACCAATCCTGCTTCAGACTGAGGTTAGGACCGCCCACCTCATTAGCATACGGACACATAAATACATAAATAAATAAATGTATGTTGCGTAAATGTAGAAATAAATGAAAGATATAGGCCTATAATAACGTGTGTTCTGTTTTATTTTCGACTTTTATTTATTTATTTATACATTGATGTATTTATTTCCATATTTATTTATGCATTTATTTATGCATTTATTCTTTTATTTATTTATTTGTGTATTTATTTCAACATTTATTTATTTCTGTATTTATTTCGTCATTTATTTATTCCTGTATTTATTTATTCCTGTATTTATTTATTTATTTATTCCTGTATTTCTTCATACATTTATTTATTTATACTTAAGTCATGTTCCGTCCTCCATACCTGTCAGACCAAAGCCATAGAGAGATAATCTCTCTAGGGCTCTGTGTCAGACGAGACATATACCACGTGATGACACGTTAGGCTCGTGTTGTATTCAAGGACCCTGACCTTGGCCAGGAAAAACAGGCACTCGCTTGTTTAATTGTTTTGCGGTCTAGATTTCTTTAAAAAAAATATTTTTGTGCGTGTGTACATAATTACCTCGAGGGCCGTACCTAATTGTCTCGCGGGCCGAATACGGCCCGGGGGCCGCAGGTTCTCCACCCCTGAATTAGAGGAATAGTTATATATTTAGGTTAAATATGAATATTAGCTGCCTGACTGAAACATCTTGTGTTTATTCCAGTTTCCTATTCAACAGACTGACATAGTTATATGATCTTCTCTTATTTAGCTAAGCAAGATAGCCAAATCAATACGTTCCAACCATAAACTCCTAAAGTGTCTTTTTGTCCACTCAGGTGTAAAAGTGGAGAGGAGGGTGAGCCGGAAGTACTCGCTGGGGTCGTCTATGGATCTGGTAAGGCCCATGAATTTGGGTCTACATAGCATCACAAACATCACACACCACGTGTAACACCTTAAGCTCATTTTACAAGTAAATGTAATCACTGTATATTTGGGGTCTCTACCATGTCCTGCAGGTGAAGCCGAGTAAGGATTTGTTTCGTCAGAGTGTCCTGCCCCGCCTCCAGCGCGCTGATAAGAAACACCGCCTCTCTGCTTCCTGCACGCAAGCTCCGCCCCCTGGATGAGGATAACGCAATCAGTGAGGCGGAGCGCTGTCAGGACAGCAAACGCAGGTAAGATGACCCACAATGCCTGGTGTGTGTGTGTGTGTGTGTTGTGTGTGTGTGTGTGTGGGTGTGTGTGTGTGGTGTGTGTGTGTGTGTGTTGTGTGTGGTGTGTGTGTGTGTGTGTGTGTGTGTGTGTGTGTGTAATTGTGTGCAACTTTCTCCAGGTCTGGCTAATGAT